TGACAGTCGTTAAGGCTGATGAACAGGGCAGCAAGGCAGAGGGGGATGAGAAGGAACGCTTCAAGAAAGTTGCTCGTCGATTTCGTGGAAGTCAAGAGTACACACTTAAATTGGAACGATGCGTCGATGGGGATGAAAGACAAGTCTGGCATCACTCATTTGAACTCTATCTATGATTGTGTTCCTTAGGTGTGGAAATGGACGCCATATGATCCCCCTGATGTTTGGACTCCCCCAAAACCGTCTCTCAGACGTCCAGAAGTCTCCTAGTTAATTTGTTTCTACTTGCTTTAATTTGTTATTGTTTGAAATAAAAACTTTGTAGGATTAAAATCAGACGTACAAACAAATTAACAATTCTCAAGCGAAGAACATGCGCTCCCCTTGATTCGCGCACAATTCTTTCAACGTCGCGTTCATTTCTGCGAGTGCTTTTGGCAAAATAACATCTACTGGTTGATGCTGAAGGAAAAAGGACGCATCACTGCCCGCTATTCACCATTCTGTGCTTACTGCATAGAAAGAAACGATCGGCTCAACGTGCAGAGCAGCTCGTTCAGCAAGACAATGGCCGTAGTAGGCTGGAGCACAACTGGAGACGCTTTTTTTGGCATCTGAGGAATTCGGAGAGTAGTTGTCGATTATTTCACTGTGAGTCACACCTACCTTTGATAAATATGGCACAGATCGAAAGCAATGTAAAGCCCAATAGAACGATGGGAGCTTCATCGCCTTGCCGATATCGTCTCTAAGAAACAAAGAAGCGACAAGGCTTCGTCGTCCCTTTTATTCCAGCATGTGGAGCCATATAGAAACTCTTGACATCCTCTGCTACTGTGTCACCAGGTAACAGATCTCCATCCACCAGCAAACCAGGGGGAAACATTTTCATTCGGATTTTCGGCATTGAGAGGGAAGAAACGCGCGTCAATCCTCTTCGTTATGATGATGTTCGTAATCAATGGGACTTGGGAGTCTCAATCGCGCGAACGCTCTTTCGATTGCAAGACATTCCTCGTTACGGAACACGAGGCTCTTCGCCTTCACTTACACCATCACGGACATACAGAACCGTCTTAGGGAGCCTAAGGATCAGAATTGAAAGACTTCAGTGTCCACTCGATCATTACATTTGCAGGAGTCACATTTCCAAGGAATTCGGCAACAACGTTTTCGAAATCTTCGATGATTTCCGTGCGGGGCCTTCTGGGCTCTCATAGCAGTTTTCCACCTTCCCAACGTTGGCTGGACACTTCCTACAATTCCAACGAGGGCCGCAATACCGTTGTATCCGGGCTTGCAAACATCCGCTCCGATAACTAAGCAACGTGTTTGTAACAGTTGTTGCAGAACATCTGTGTTTCCTCCAGAAATGGTATGGTTGGGCAGAAGCTCCGTCCTTTTCACAAAATGACATTGTCCGCCCTGAAACAATCATAACATCTCCAGAAATTATTCTCCAAAAGGTATGAAATTCTCCATTCCTCTAATATCATCGTCTTACTAATTTAGCATTTATTTTCGAAATAACATTTCCATAATGGGCGTCAACACCTCTGTCTTTGTGGTTCAAGACAGGGTGTTCTCTCAATTAATCATGTGGGTTGATGGAATTCCATTCAAATCGAATTTCCTTTTAATCGTCGATCGCACAAACAGAACTTCTTTCTTGGCGAGTGACGATCAGAACAAGCTGACAAAGACGAACCCCTTCGGAAATCTCCAAAATCGCAATTGTCTCACTTCAACGTTTGGAATTTTGCTGACATCAGCAAAGAAATCGTCAACATCTTTTTGACAATTCTCTGCAAATTTTCTGGAGTCGAGAGGTCGATTATTCGTGCATTACCGTTCGCGTTGGGACTCGACGAATGGAACTATTCTCTTCGGATATTCGGCATTGCATGCCAAGGTTTCGAGTGAATTTCAGAATTGCTGAGTGGAGGATTAGAACAGAATCAACGCCTCCGTGCGTTACAATTAACGACAACATCCATATCCTCTTTGTCGAGCTGGTCCTGCGAGTCACCGGGAAAATAACCGAAGCGCCCAATTCCTCAACGGAAGCGGCGTATAGAAATTTCCGTTAATGCGCCATTGGCCGTTCCGGACTTGCGCAAGCGACTGCATGAAAAAATCGAACATGACTTTCAAACGTTGACCACTTACCTCTCCTTTTGGAGACTTATAGACAATGCTCGGAGGGGGAAGGACCGTAGCATCAATAAGGCGTGGCGCTTCGGAGACGCTAATACCGAAATTCGCCAATTTTTTATTGTTCAAGATCATCTCTCTCGCGTAATAAAGAGTCATTTCATTCCTTGCCTTCGGAGACATCTCATTCGCCATTTGAATGGCTGTCTTGATTTTGGGGGAATATTCGCGCGCTCCATCAAATTGCGGGGTCACTTTTACAAGTTCGAGAGGAAAGTAGACAGTGTCGCTCTTTCCCGGTGACTCAACGAGAGGCCAGTCTGGATGCATCAGACGGATGTTGTACTTCAACCCTATCATGATTGAAGTCACATGTGGGACAAATTGTATAGGATCCCAAGAGGATCCTAAGTTGGTTCAACATACTGTAAAATTCTTCAACGGACACTTCGCGATTGTGTTCCTCCCAGAAAAACGTTTTTGTTTTTGCGGAAATCAGGACGTCGCGATACGAAGAATCTGAAGATAAAAAGAAAAACGGGGATAACAGAAAGATAAACATGGAAAACAGAATAATGACAAGATGTAATTCTGATTGATGTGCCTTTTACCTTCGAACCCTTTTTCAAGTGTTCCAGGGAAATTTGCAAATTGTCCCAGGGCTGAGGATCTTCGTCCTCCCGCCGATATTTACGGTCCGAATCTCGAGTTCTCAAGCGTGAGGGATCGTTGCGTGTACATTCTCGAATGAAGTCCTCCAATGGAATTCTTTTGGGACAAGAAACAATAATCGTTCTGAAAACATCTCTCCACTTACTCGTTCAGAATAGCGACGCTTGAGTTCACATTCACCAATACAACATGTTTCCATGGTGTGATCTTCTTCTGAGGTTCGTATCGTTGAATTCGCTGAGGTACAGCACTGATCCCAAACGCGAGAACATTCCCGCCCAAAAACTCAGGAGATCGATGTCCGAATGACGTTGTTTTAATCCGGCTGAAGTCTTCAGGGAAGAAGACATTCCCAACGGCCTCGAGCTGAAGACATTACAATTTCAATTGACAGTCTCAACAATTCAACAGTCCAAGTAACGCACCTTGTGCGAAGGGGCGTCCTTCCACACGATTTGAAGCAATTGAATCCGCTGCCTTTCCCTCCATCTCGGTTGTGATGTCTTCCGACAAAAACTTCAGTCCAAACTCGTACGATCTGTTCCGGAATTGAACCATCTCATTAGCATCGGGGATTCGTCTACAATCAATAAAAATTGAGGAAGAAATCGACACTCCAACGTACGAAGGGGTATATAGAATTCGATCGCCATCGTACGCGTAGAATGGAAGATCCCAGCTGCTTCATGTGTAACGTCAAAAGCTGACGACACAATTTCGGTGACTCGGCTGAACCCTTTCGATGAACGCGCTTCTTGTTTGTATCCTCCACTGGGGAATCTTCCATAATTGATACGTCGTAACGAAAGACTTTCAGAGTACCGACTGACACGCTGGAAAGGAATTCAACAATTCAAATCAGTCACAAAATAAATTTGGAACAATAATTACTTGAAAGCGTTGGAGGAAACACGACACGGTCCGACAACGTTTTCGATGTTGGAGCGGGTCCTCTTCCTCTTCCTCTTCCGCCACCGCCGTCAGAACCACGACCACTATATCCTCCACGTCCTCCACTGTCACCACGTCCGCCTCCCGTAACCACCACGCCCGCCACCACAGCCCCCAGAATTGCCTCCACGTCCTCCGCTCTCACCGCGTCCGCCTCCCCCCATAGCCACCTGAATTGCCTCCACGATACCCTCGCTGGCCACCTCGATGCAATATTGGTTTTTTTATTGTGATGCTTTTTGAGGTGTGTTAATAACGTGTGCCTGACCCAAAGAGCCAGATGTTGTTGACTAACACAAAAACAGAACATCCACTGGACGCAACGACGGTCCAGGAGTGGCGCTCCATGCTCTTCATATTCAGCACGACTCATCCACATTTGTTTGAAAACTTCCGAGTGATGCTAAAATGGATCCACCAATCCAGGATGAAAATCGTCTTTCCACTGAAGATTGAGGGCAGAGTATTTTGTATTTAAGTCCATTTCCAAATGTCGTTTCAACCTAAAAAAAAAGAAATTAATTCTACTGTTTGCAAAGAACAGCCCACATCTTGAAGTTGGCGTGTAATCCGATCTGCAAATCCAGGAAGGAGAGTGCAACCTCCAGTGTAGGTCAATGCCTGCAAAAGGTCTCGCCGATTATCAACGTCACACTCCAAGATAGATTGTGCAAAGTTTGCATGTGAAAGACTTTGGGTTCCCTACACCATCAGAAATCATCAAATCAATCTTAAGGCGCAACTCACTACCAATACAGACACCGGCGGCGGAATTCCGAATATCCAATTAAAATTAAATAAACATTCGGGGACGGCTTCTTGAGATCTGATCAATGTTCACTATTGCGCCATCTACAATTTTGGGACATATTGATGCATCGACTCAGCGATAAATCACCTGGGAGTTCGTATTTATTAGAAAGGGTTCCTGCTGTCGTTGAATGTTTGATCAATTCGCCTATAAATTGTTGTGGATCAGACATCAATGGATTTTCTGCTATTCGAGAAATGGACTCCTTCATCGTTCGCAGAACTGAACGTTGACTGCGGAAAACATAATAGAAAGTCCCAAAGCAGAAATGAGTTGAGTGACAAACCTATGGAGGTAGTAAGATGGATGGACATCTGGTGTTGGGATAAAATCAATTGACTCGATGATGGGGGGGAGATTTGGAACGAGTTTAATATGTTTTTTTGTTGAATAGAGTGGAACTAGACTGGATTCACATTTTAGTGACTTTTAATAAGTATTGCAACTGATAGTCTAAAAGATCACCGCCAACTGGAATCTCTTTGACATGTTTCTAAAAGATATTACACAAACAATCAGAATAGTGAATAATGTTTGGGAAACATTACGAGCATGGTGTATCCATCAATAACGGGAGTTACTGTCGTTGTTGCTGACCCCACATCAATAAACAGACCACCAATTCTCCCCAACTGAAATAAAAGATCAATAGAAGTAAAATTCGAAAAATTGATCCACCTGAGAAAGACGTTAGCGGGGCTCTCTTCCCGGTATAAACTGCCGCTGTGTGGAAGGTTTCAAACAAAATCTCCGCCATCCCTTCCTGAAAAAACCAGAAAATTCCAACAAGACAAATGATCGCGACGACTTACGCGAACCTTGCGATTGTGAACGTTTGGTTCGGTAACTAAAACGGGCTTGTCTGCTGGTTGCACTTGCAGGGCCTTCGTTCATGCTGAAATGTAAAAATAAAACATTCAATGAAAATAAAGAGAATTGTCGTACTGGAATATTCTGGTCAATGATGGTTTCAAATATATCGCGGTCTAGTTGAAGAGTTTCTGGTGGACAGAGAATTTCTTCGAGTGACGGTACTACGGTAGAGACTTGTCTTCTTGACGGCCGATACAAACAAGGCCGAACCTTCGAGCACAAGAGCAAATATCTAACCATCATCATCATCATCATCATCCTCACCTCAGTGTCATTAATTAAAGAACTAAAATACAATGGATACTTGTGTCTTGGATGTTTGTATTCTCTAATCTGAATAAAGGAGACATTCAAGAGTTTCGTAATGAAGGCGAAACCTCTGGAAGAAGCTCCCATATTTTCGAGCTGCACACCAACAAAAGACTCTGAAAAATGCTTCGGCCATTCTTCACCTGAAGCAGGTGTGTGAGTGCTGTAAGATGCCCCACACGGTTTACCTGCGTTGCCTGCTTGAACGTACAAACTTCCGAGATCAACAACCAATGCTCCAACATCATCGCCAGTAGGAAATGTCGCCCCATCAGTTTTCGGGGCACCAGCAGCTGTGCTCGACATTCCTTAACGTCTTTTCTGACGGAACAGATTGAGACGTGGACTGTTACAAAATATTCAGAATTTGGGGGGATTCGAGTGTTTGTGATTTGAAAATGTGTTGATTCCCGCTGTTTGTTAATGGAGGGTTTAAGATGATCTGGGTACACAACTAGTCAACAGAAAATTTGTTCGGCTCAAATCGAGATTTCGATCGACCAGATCATTTTACTGGTTCATGTCCCAAAACGAGATTTTGCACTACACAAAAATCACTAACAAAAACCACTATCAAATATTGTTCTGAGATTGTTCGCTGTACCATAAGAGGTTATGAGCCCCCCCAGTTCTCTTTTAAACCCTCGTTGCAGAACTTGAAATTGTGTTTTTTTTTCTTTCGCCATGGCCGCCAAACCCGTCCCCGACGGCTTCACAAAACTCACAGGCACCGGAAATTTTCACATTTGGTCGGATGAGATAACTCAGTGGCTTCAATTCAATAGCCTGGAGCTTTATATCACTCCATGGCAAAAGCCAGAGCCTACAGAGACAAATGCTCACCCGGAACCAAAGAAACCTTCAGGATGGACAGAACCCAATGCCAAGAAAGCAGCTTCCATCATCTTCTTCTCAGTCGGCACAGAGCAGAGACATCATCTGCAGGATCTTCCCAGAGATCGTCCAGATCTCTACTACGCAGCCCTCCTGAACAAGATTGGCAAAAAGAAGCTCAATAAGGCAGTTCTGTTCGAGCCATTGATGAAGTTCCAACTGACGGACACCAATATGGACAACCAACTGTCGAGGCTATCCAATATTTGGATTCCCTTGAAAGCAGCCGTTCCCGCTCTACCAAACGAAGTCAAGACCTTCGTCCTCTTGCTGAGCATACAGGTTTCCTGCTCTCTTTGAGGCCTTTTGCGCGCGTGAAGACCTAGTTATCAGGAACTTGTCGACGCCATTAACCTCAGAAAGTCAGAAGAACCAGTAGCGGCAAATCACGCATCAGTATCAAAGTCCAAGGCATACAAAGGCAGAAAGAACAAGAATGAAAACAACAATAAACACTGGGCGCCCCATCAGTCGACCAATGCGGCGTCCTCTAGCAGCACCATCAAGAAGATTTGCAACTTTTGTGGTCTACCTGGCCACACTTCAGAGGAGTGTAATACGAGAAGAATTTTCAATCAGCGGAAAAATCAAAATCGGAACCGAAGTACCAATTCAAACCAAGAAAAGGTACACCTCGCCTGCCACACCAGTCATGAGGCTTTTTCAACAACGCACGCTTCCCATGCTCGTGTCGCAACACCTGAAACGGTCGAATTTGTCATCGACTCGGGAGCTATGCGAACCATCACCAAAGAAGAATCCGTCGCCACCACACCTTCAACGTCGGGTCTCGGAGTAATCAAAGTTGCTGATGGACGCACAGTATGACATCAAGTGGGACGATTTCTGGGTCACTTCACACTCGTTCGGACGATCCGCCCTCAATCAGCGTTGAAAATGTGCTAGTTTGCCCTCAGATGGCCACCAATCTTCTGTCTCAACTCGCATCCAAGAAAGGGTTCATGATCATGTTCAAGGACAATAGCTGTCATCTATATCCACCTGAACATCATCCGGACGTCGTCTACAATGAAGATACCATTGACATCATCACCACGTCAACAACTGGGGTTTACACACTCAAGATCAAGGTTGACCAGACACTTTCAGCTTTTGAAGCAAGGTCGAAGTCCACAAGAGAGGCTGATCTTCGTCACTGCAAGCTTGGGCACGTCTCCAAGAAAGTCATGAAGCTCCTCGGGTATTCTGTAAATTTTCCTTTCTGCAAAACTTGTGCTCAAAGCAAAATTACTGTGTTGCCGTTTCCTCGCCAACATGAGCGATATGAACTCTCGGCGGGAGAAGCTGTTTGCGTGGATCTCTTTGGACCAACTCGTCACGAAGGTCGCGAAGGAGAACTCTATCTCCTGGTCATGGTTTGTTACGGTTCGGGACGGAACTTTGTTAGAGCGTTGAAGCACAAATCAGAGGTGTCATCAACTCTTCAGAACGCGCTTTTGACATGGCAACAGGAATGCAACAGATTTCCGCTGTACATTCAATCCGATCGAGGAGGTGAATTTCTTGAATCCGAATTTCAAAACTTTTGCGCTGATCACGGCATTCAGATACACATGTCTGATGCGCAGTCCTCACAATCAAACGGACTCGCAGAACGCGCAATTCGGAATGTTATCACGCAAGTCAGGTCGATAATCGATTCAGGACTTCCTTTGGTTTATTGGCCCCAAGCAGCGCGCCATGCCATGTACATTATTAACAGAATTCCTTCTTCCACGCGGAACAACAGTATTCCTCTGATGCACTGGTTTCCCTCACACGATTGGTCACGCGCCACTCTAAGCATACGTCGATTTGGATGTCGAGTATCGGTACACAACAGAACAACTGACAAGCTTGCTCCTCGTGCTGATCCTGGTGTATTCCTCTATCACAACGACAATTCTGGAGTGTTAAACCACATCCTGACACACAATGAATTGCTCGAAGACCGTCGCATGATTTTCGACGAAAATGACATGCCTTATCGTCTTGACATTCCCATTACACTCAATGACGCCTTTCCATTTTCAGAAACTTCAGATTTCTTCTCAGATTGCAACATCACGGAAGAGATACCGCAACCAACCCATCCGCATCCCAGTATCTCTTCGACTCGGACCCTCAATGGAAAAAGGCAACAGACAAAGAAAGGGCGAAATTTGATGAACTCGATGTGTATGAACTCGTTGAACCACCAAAAGAACAAAAAGTCATTCCAACATTGTGGGTTTGGAAAATCAAAAGAGATGTTAACGGCGTTCCCATCGACTACAAGGCACGGCTTGTTGCTCAAGGAATTTTCCCCTCAGCACAAGACGCTCCAACTTATGCAGACATGGCATCATTTCCAACAGTCAGAACTGCTCTCGCTTTCAGCATTCAGCACAACTTACGACTAAAGCATTTTGACATTTCTTCAGCATTCATCAATGCTCCAATTGGACACGAAGCGTACGTCTACCAACCAGAAGGATACATCGATCAACAACGACCCGATGCTGTATGGAAGCTGCGAAAGGCTGGACTCAAAGAATCTCCTCACCTCTGGAATCAGTTCATCTTTTCCATTCTGATTCAAGAATCTATCAGCAGTCCAAAAATGACCCATCGCTTTGGTTCCAGCTGAATCAGTCATCTGGGGAGGGTTGAAGCTCTGCTTGTCGTATTTGTGGACGATATCGTCGGGGGTTTCCTAAACGAGAGACATATGCAATCGTTTGTAGAACTAATCAACAACAACGGTCTGAAGATGACTGAGTCAGCACTAACAAAATTGCTTGGGATGGACATTGATTGCTCGAAAGACTGGTCAAGAATTCACGTTTTCAGTGAATCCTTCATCAGAGATCTCCTCCTTAAGTATAGTATGTCTGATTGAATGGAAACATCTCTTAATCTTCACCCAGAAGAGGACTCCTTCTGTAGTAACGATTTTCCGTTCGCATCCCTCATTGGATCCCTTAATTTCTTGGTCAACACTACCAGACCCGATATCGCTTTTGCAGGTTCGCTCATTATCCCAACTCGTCAATGCATTCCAGCAAGTACACGTGATTGCAGTTAAACGGGTGCTGCGGTACCTTAAGGGTACATGCCTTGTTGGGCTTACATACAAGAAAAATCTAGATTCTGGAGGAACGATCACCTGTTACGCCGACGCATCGTTTGCTTCTACCCGTGATTGGAAGTCCATGACAGGCGGTCTCATCATGCTAAACCGTCAAGATTCACCAATTATTTGGGAATGCAGCCGTCAAACGGCAACAGCGACATCAACGACGGAAGCTGAAGGGATTGCCACTTTCATCCTTTGCCAGAAAGCACAGTTGATCACAAGCTTATTGCAAGAAATTGTGTCGTCCGACCTTTCCATCCTCATGTACAACGACAATCAACCGCTTCTTGATCTTCTCAACGTCAACGGTCACATTGTCGCACGTCATCGGGCAGTTGGATCGAAATTAGCCAAGCTTCGGGAATGGTCTCAAAATATTAACGAGGAAGCACATAAGATGGTGTTCGCTTATGTTTCAACTGAAAGAATGCTTGCCGATCTTCTTACCAAGCCCCTGGCAGCTCCACGGTTTAAGATCCTCCGACATTCCTTCATGAACGATTCTCTCTCTGCTCCATCAATGAGCTCAGACGAAGAAGCATGATTCGCTCCAATCTGGGGAGGTGTTAAGATCCTGACTTAATGACCAGATTATTTTACTGGTTCATGTCCCAAAACGAGATTTTGCACTACACAAAAATCACTAACAAAAACCACTATCAAATATTGTTCTGAGATTGTTCGCTGTACCATAAAGCCAGCAGGCACATCTGTTACACATCACAGACCTTTTCAAGGGTGAAAAGCTTTTGATGCAAAACTTTTCCATCAGGTTTTGCTGATTCGAAGCTTTTTTGCACCAAATGAAAATTGCAGCGAATATCTTAGCGAGTTTCAACTTCATTGATTTCCTTTGAATGCCATTACTTAAGAATGGATGGGTGGTCGCATCCTCCCTCTATTCGTCCGCCGCAATTCTATCGGCCTGCCACTCGGTACTCCAATCCTTCACCACCATATGGGGCCGCTCCTTCGGATTATTCTGATCATCTGGACTCGATCCTCCGCCCTCTTCGTCATGAGGATTCAGCAGTCCCCGTTCGTCAACACCGAACCCAAACGCAAGGGTTTCCTCGGGCGTGGCGCCCGTCCATTCAACCAACGTTGCATCCAATTGATCGACGTCCTTCTGACGCAACGCAGGATGGATATAAAGCCCTTCGTAAAGCCGTCCTTGCTTCAATTACCACGGATCAGGAATCCACTCCGTCTCAATTATCGTCTCTGCCTCAGTTCTTCAATCGACCAAGCATCGATCCTCGTAGCTCATACAGTTCGTCTGGGGAGCCTCGTC